ATAAAATTAATACTTACAACAGGATGTTTTATTTATTGAAGTATACTTAGGGACGAAATATATTTAGAGTGGACCTGATATTTATAATCAAAAGGGAGACATAGAATAGGTCTATTGCATTTTCATCAATCATATGTTTTGAAATGTCCATCAAAATCCAAAGTTTTATACAATATTTAAAAATGCATTATGCCTTATACATCATAAAATTCAATCCATAATTTTAGAAATCAACAATCTCCCTAACAACTTGACAAATACTTTAATTACATAAAAGCTAATTGTGATCGTAGCCGATTAGTTCATATTGCTTGTCATCGCAGAAATGCAATTAGTAATTGTATCACAAATAACGATTGTTTTGGTCTCACCACGTTCAAGTTGCTACGTACTGAAACCCATTTTCAAATTTATTCAATTAAAAAAAAAAAAAAAAATGAAATTCCTTTTGATATACGATTGTAAAATGTTCACAATTTCTTATAAAAAGAACAGCAAAAGGAGTTTTAAGATGAAACCAATGGAAAGTAAATCAAAGCACAATATATTCAAATACAAATCAAAGTTAATTGGAAATAATTATAACTAAGTTATGATATGTAAAATATTTTACATATTTAAAGAAAAAATAAAAATTATTTCACATATATTTTAGCAATAAGCATATTATTCTATAGAATGCTCTCACAGTAAATTTACAGATACATACTAATTATCTTATGATTAACTAAAACTAAAACTTAACTTAAAGCTAAGATGCACGCACGATGTTCGTACGAGATCCCTCGTCGTCCCACGGTGCCTCGCTGGGGGGTCCAATATTTTACTTATCAACTAATTGTCCCTACAGTTCAGTTTAGATCTAAACTCAACCGTAGGTTGCGTAGTTCTTAGCTTGACATCGTTTTACAGACATTACAGTTTATCGTTCGTCGTTTTATAATGTTTATAAACATCACATACAACAATTCGCAGCCCTACCACCGCATTCTGTACAAAACACGTTTATTGAACTTGGGACGAAATTAGGAATCCCTCATCTTCTCTTTTCCTTTGTTCGTTGTTGCTATTGCTACTTTGTTCGTTCGACACTGGAGTCGAATTTCCAAGTTTTGCAGTCAGTGTGCCGAATCGAGGTTCGAACATTTAGAAACGAGTAGTCTAACGCTACCCCCAACGACAGTGGGGTTCCGTGGAACCGCTGAGTCGGATTACCAAGGACGCTGGACTGCAAGAATCTCACCTCGCCCTTTCGGACGAGGCTGCAGTTCCCCGATTCGACACACTGACTGCGAAATTTGGAGACCCGG